AGACAACCCCAAAAACAATTTAGACGCCCATCTATAGTCAAATCATCTAACAAACAGGAATTTTTGTTACTGAAATCAGTAATTTTTTTTAATATTAAGTTATCTTTGGCAATGGATGGTAGAACTGGTCAAATATCGTCTTTTATTTGATGTGTTAGTGTGACCTGCATTATTTTTAGATTTGCTATCTGGTCGCCAAAATGAGAATTGTTATTATATTCAAGAAAAAATATAGAGTTTATTTTAATTTAATAGATTAAAAAATTATCGTTGAACTCATTTTAATGATTAAACAAATTTGGACGTTTATTTATTAAAGTTTTCATTTACATTGTAAATAAAAAGATAAGTAAAATTGTTTCAAATTGTGAATGAACGTTTGATTTAGAAAGATGGACAATTAATTTTTCGCTTATAAATAAACATTTAGGAAGATGGACAATTAATTTTTCACTTATAAATAATTAATGCTATTTGATATTTGATTAAAACAATAAATTTTTAACATAAAATGTCACAAAATCCAATTATTACTAAATTACAAGAACCCATGCCGCAATATATATCGGGTCTCATTCCTGTAATCGTAATATTGGGGACATCCCCATTCAAACTTTTGTTTGATAAATTGATTTGGGTATTTAAGTGCCTTGGTTGTCCTTTCACAGGTCTGTTTTACTACCTGGTCATAGGAGCTGACCCAGTGGAAATGTGTATATATTGGCTCCCTGAAGAATTTTTTCTTACAACAAATGAAAATAATCTTGACTTTCCTCCAGTCGGTCTTCATGCAAAAAATATGCTGATTACTTTGGAGCAAGATAAAATTATGAAACAATGCACAGCAAATGCACCGGTGATGGACCGGTTGTCTTCATTGGCGTCTGCATATTATATTATTGTTGGAATAATTTCAGGAATTTACAGTGCGACGGGACCATGTACTCCTGAAGATTGGCCCTCTTTAACTTTGTCATTTCTTTGGACTTTTCCAGTGATTGTTAAAAGAACAATTCGAACAGAAATTGTTGTCAAGGATCCTGGAATAGATTTTAATGAGTTAAAGGAGTTAAATCGTCACTTAATAAGAGTGTTAGAAGAAAATGAAGACATGGACATAGAATTAGCCATACAGGATGAAAATTTAGTCGACGAAGAAAATTTGAAAGATTTTCCCATCCCCTCACCAAGTTACAAAAGACTAAGGTTTATAATTACTACTTTATTCTTGGTAATAATACCATGGATATCAGAGGCATTGCCTACATCAATCCTCCAATTGGATTTTTTTGTAGATCCAAATTTCTTACAGCATTGTGCTCTATATGGACATTCAACAATCTTGTAGCATTCATTTGCCACATTAATTTTGGATATGACTTTTTAATAGGAAAAAAAATGAAAAAATTTATTCGCGCTTATTTTGTTTCATCTGGTATTATAATAACATTGCTTTTGCTTCTGCTGGTTGTGCTGTTCAATGAATCATCATTTTGGGTTGATTTGTTCGGAGACAAGTGTAGGGGCAATCCCTGCCTTTTTGAAGATTTAGGAACATAAACATCTACCTATAGCATAAAGATTACAGAGTATCTTTTTGGGGAAAGGTCTCTTCAGTTTCCTAAATCTTCAACAAAAAATTTCAACACACATGGTCAAACCAAAGCATAGCACTTTAAACAAAATTTATTGATCGAGATAACTTTATTTTCGCTGTTTTAATTCATTTAAATTTACTTTATTAATAGAATAATTTATAATATTGTTATTATTTATTGTAATTTTACTAATAATTGTCAAATAAAATTTTTACTTTTTACATTATTTTGAATCATTTTCTAACTGAATTTGATAATTAGTTAGCTTATAAATGAATAATAATGTTGAACGTTGCTGTCTTTTTGAATTATATTATTAGAATAAAGAGAATACACATTCATCACACACAAATTACATTGTTTGACTTTCAAATATCTATTTTAATATTAGTAAGTGAAATGAAATAGGTGATGTGGATTATAGAGGGATTAATGGTCAGATACATAGGGATGGAGTGGTTTCGTTTTGTGAATTATTATTATAGAAGTTT